TTCAGAATTTTGCTCACAATCAGTTCTTTTATAACACCTGAAACCCCTGGAATGTGCTTTTTTGCCTACTACTTGGTAGTTTTGACTAGGTTCTGTTCTCCTTTGGTTGATGGCGTTTTGAGTCCTTTTAGCTCTGATCTTCTGACTTCAGACTAGATTACTAGAACCTACATGGAAAAAAACCTGTGGAATGTTTTTGTTATTATCCTATTTGCCAGCCTAAAACATCTAAAACAGGGCTTTTCAACCTTTTCACCCATTATACCACTTTTAGGATATGGCAATATCCGAGTACCACCAGTCGCCTAGCAAGGTGTCAAAAACTTGATGACAAAAAAAAGGGAAAAAAGTGATAAAGTACAGGTAGTCCTTGACTTAACAACAGTTCGCTTAGGGAGGTGGTTGGCTTATCAGTTACGAAAGAAACAGAAAGCTAGAATTATAGAGAAAGTAAAATATAAAGGTACTGAGGTTTTTCAGCAAGGTTTGATTAAAAAAAGCTTTTTGGACTTTTACACAAAATTATATTCAAGTGATAATATAAGGGGTTTGGATATAGATAAATATTTACAATCAGTACATTTTCCTAGACTTTCAGAGGAACAACAAAATGGGATGAATAGTTTAATTACTGTGGAGGAAATTGGCTTAGCTATTAAGCAGTTAAAGGTTGGAAAGTCTCCTGGAACAGATGGACTGACTTCTAGGTATTATAAGATTTTATCTGAAGAAATGATAGAATTTTGTTGGGTATGCAAGTTCCTCCTTCTTGGAAAAGAGCTTTTATATCACTGATTCCGAAGGAAGATCAGGATCTTACAGAGCCTAAGAATTATAGGCCAATTTCATTATTGAATGTTGATTATAAGATCTTTACAAAAATTTTGGCAAATAGATTAATGCAGGTTATGAAAGACTTGATTCATAGTGATCAAGCAGGATTTATAACAGGGAGATATATGAAACATAATGTTAGACAAATTATTAACTTAATTGAGTACTTGGATAAGAATAATCAGATTCCTGTGGCTTTTATCTTTTTGGACGCTGAAAAAGCTTTTGATCAATTGGACTGGCAATTTTTATTTTCTTTGGTAGAGAAAATGAATTTTGGGGATAATTTTTTACATGCACTTAAAGCTATATATCAGCAGCAATCTGCACAAATTGTTGTAAATGGGGGATTGACTGAGAATTTCAATATTCAAAAAGGGACAAGACAAGGATGTCCATTATCCCCATTGTTATTTGTTTTAACATTGGAAATTTTATTGATTCAGATTCGGGAATCGAAGTTAGTTAAGGGTGTAAAGATAAGGAAGAATGAGTATAAATTGCGGGCATTTGCGGATGATTTGGTTTTAATTTTGGAACAGCCGAATCAGGCGATTGATGGTTTATTAGAACTTATAACACAGTATGGGAATGTTTCTGGTTTTAAAGTTAATAATTATAAGACTAAGATATTATCTAAGAATATGTCAGTTAAAGAAAGGGAAAGTTTGATTAAAGCCACAGGTTTTCAGATGGTAAAAAAGGTTAAATACTTGGGAGTATATCTAACTGCTTCAAATGGAAAATTGTACAAGAACAATTATGAACCACTATGGGCAAAAGTCCAAAAGGATTTAATAGATTGGAAAAAATTGCAATTGTCATTGTTGGGGAGAATTTCAGCTGTAAAAATGAATGTTCTACCAAAGTTTCTTTTTTTGTTTCAGATGATACCTATTCTTAAAAAAGAGGCAAATTTGGAGGAATGGCAAAAGGGTATCAATAATTTTATATGGGCCGGGAAGAAACCAAGGGTTAAATTTAAGATATTACAGGATGCTCGAGAAAGAGGGGGACTTAAGGCACCCAATTTGAAATTATATTATGATGCAGCCGCCCTAACTTGGTTAAGTGATTGGCTTAATTTAACAAATATGGATATTCTTTTTTTGGAAGGTTGGGATTTAATATATGGTTGGCATGCATATTTAATTTTTAATAAGAAAGTTGATCGGACTTTTAAATCACATATTTTGAGGAATGCCTTACTTCGTGTTTGGAAGAAGTATTATTATAGATTAAATTATAAAATACCTATCTGGGGGATTCCCAGACATGCAATTGAGGGAACCTCTAAGGGGACAAATTTTGATAAAATTTCATATAAAGAATTGTTAATTTGTTCTGGTTCGAATTGGCATTTGAAATCCCTAGATGTATTAAGGCAGCAAAATATTCTACAGTCATGGTTTCAATATTTACAAATAATGGATAGATGGACTGTAGACAAGAAAGAGGGAATAACACTAGAAGATAGACAATTGGTTATTCAGATTAAAAACCAAGGTCCGGCTCATATAAAAAGAATATATAATGTTTTATTAGAGTTAGATTCGGAAACAGAATTGGTTAAAGATTGTATGATTAAATGGGCTCAGAATATACAGGAGCCGATCTCATTGGATTTATGGGAGATAATTTGGATAAGAAATGTTAAATTTACACAAGCTCAAAATTTGAGAGAAAATTTTTATAAAATGTTTTATAGATGGCATTTAGATCCTAAAAAATTATCTTGTATGTATTCCAACATACAGCCCAAATGTTGGAGATGTGGCAATAATGATGCGACATACTTTCATATTTGGTGGAATTGTAAAAAAGTAAAGGCTTTTTGGATTATGATTTGGTGGAACATTCAAAAGATTTTTAGAAAGAAGATAAAGTTTACTCCTCAACTATTTTTACTTGGTATTTTTGTTGACTTAAATGAAAAAGAAACTACTTTGATGTTGAATTTATTAACTGCAGCAAGGTTACTAGTAGGTTTATATTGGAAGAAAGATTCTTTGCCTACTTTAGAAGAATGGATATTTAAAGTATCTAGTTTTGCAGAAATGGCAAAAATTTCTGCTTATTTAAAGGATCATACACAAGAAAGATATATTACTCTATGGGGAAGGTGGATAGATTATATTCAGAAAAAATATGGAATTAAAAAGCTTTATTTATTTTATGAATGAATATCAAATATTATAGAGAATTGTTTTATAAGTTATGGAGTTAAAGGTTAATTATGATATTTTTTTTTCTTTCTCTTTTTTTTTCTTTTTTTTTAATTATTATAATTTTCTTTTTCTTTTTTTTTCTTAACCCTGTATTCTGCTCTGGGAAGTGAAGGGAGGGGGGGTGGGGGTGGGAGGGAGGGTAAGGGGGGGGTTCTCTATTTTAAAATTTTATTGTATTTTTATAAATGATTGTATGTTTTTTTTTTTAAAAAAAAAACAGTTCGCTTAGTGACTGTTCAAAGTTACAATGGCACTGAAAAAAGTGCCCCCACAAGCCACAGCCAACCAAGACACCTGCCTGCCACCTGGCCGCGCTCTTCCTCCTGTCCGAAGTTTTCATTGTTGTGAGCATTTCTGTTCAGGATTGGCAGCGGGGGTGGGGTGGAGGGTGTTTGGTTTTTATTCCCCCCATCTGATGGGTGGTTGCAGCAGGTCACATGACCCGGGGACACTGTGACTGCCATAAATATGAATCAGTTGCCACGCATCTGAATGTAAATCACAAGACCCTGGAGATAAGGCAACATTCTAGCTGAGTGGTGCTTCTTCAGGGTTCAACAGAAGCACCAGGATCAACGCCGAGCTCCAGCTGGAGCCTGGCGCTGATCCTGGCGCTTCCATTGAGCCCTGACAGTCCCGAAGAAGCACCGATCAGCTGGAAAGCGGCACTGATCCTGACATTTCCGCTGAGCTCTGACAGCCCTGCAGCTCCAGCCATCTCTCGCTCAGGCTTGTGCAGTGCTGCCACCGGCTGAGCTCATTCCCCTCCCCCACTACCACTTTTCTAGGATGGTCGCGTACCACCTGCCAGGTGCAAATGTACTACAGGTGGTACCTGTACCACTGGTTGAAAAGCCCTGATCTAAAACACTATATTGGCCTCTTTTCATAAGAAAAACAAATAACCTTTTTCTTTTTCATTTTTTTCTAAATTCAAGGTATTTTGTATCTGTTTCCTCTTTTGTAATTGATATTTTAACCTGTCTGACAAAATGGGATGTAGTCAACGAAAGCTAATGCAACAATACATTGATCTCCTCCTGTTTTCTCTGAAATTATTAAAATCTTGGTTGATCTGAGCACTTTGTTGGAAACTCAAAAAGCTGACAATTTAGAAACTTGCAGCTTAATTATGAACAACTGTAGGGATGAATTTCCTTCAACAGATTAATGGTGGTGGTCAGCATCCCATTATTTGTACAATCTGGCCACACTCTTCCTCACCTTCAATCTGAAAAGAATGGGACTAGGAAAAAAATTCCTGACAGGACTGGACTGTATTATTCAATAGGAACAATAGGAAGCCCAATCTAGTATCTATAAAAATAGACTATGATACATTTACGAAGGATGGGGGGATATATTAGTTACCCGCATGTCATATCATATCTCATATCACTTTTCTGGACTAACATACTGGCAGTTCACACATACAGTTTCGCTATTAAAAAAACCTGAAGATAATTACCACTAGAAATTGTTACCCTCATAAAAAGTATTAGCTATCTATGAAACAGGAGCATTCAAGCTTAAAAGGTCTTTAACGTAAACCTTGGATAGTGATTATTTAAATTACATATGAGTGGTATCCTAACATGGTGCTGCCATGAACAAATATGCTGACAGATCTCCCCTTGTGTAGGAAAGAAACTGACAGAGCCAAGGGAAGGAGTTAAATGAGGTATCAGTTTAGAATCATTAGATAGTCACAAAAGAACAACCCCACTTGAGAGCAGTTGACCCTTACCTAGTTCTGTCCAGGTGCAAGCCGTTAGTCTGAGAAGTTTTCTGTGCATAGGCTTTAGCAATAATCCAATAATTAGAACCTTCACATGTGCACCTGGTTTTTTGCACCTAACACCTTGATTCCCTCCAGGTTATCTGCCCCACCCTTCAAATGTATTTTACATTCAATTATTGAAAGGAAAGAATACTTACATTATCATTGCTTCCTTTGTTGTCCTCATATTTGGTCTCTATGTGAATGGAGAACTTGGGCAAAAATGAGCACTGCAAAGAAAACACATAATACAACAATTATACCCATTAACAGTTTCATGATGTCCTTTTTCCATTACATTATCCTGGCTATAATTCCTACCTGCCTCATATTTGGGAGAATTAGCCTGACATTTATAGGCGCAAAATCTCTATAAGGACAGGAAAAAAGAATACTGCACAAGTTCAACAGTCTCAACATTCTCCATGAATTCTTTCAGCCCGTGGATAGTTTCCTAAATTTTGCTGGCAAGTTACACTTTCATCAGAACCAAAGCATTTGTTTTCTGTGAAGATAGTTATGCTGCACTTGCAAGGGTAAGTAATAAAAGCAAACCAATTTCTAGGAAAAAAATAAACTTTGAGAAGAAAGTCAGAAGAGTGGATGTAACTGGCATATGAATTGAAGGAAGTTGAATCTTTTTGCCACCTACCATATTTCAATTGCCTAATTATCAAAATTATTTTTCCTGCCATAGAATTCCTAATGTATGCTTGGAGATATTTTTCATTGATGTAACAACTTCCAGATTTATGACAAATCGGGATAGAATGAATGAATAGAATGAAATCATCATCATCATCATCATCCCTGTAAGATAGAGGTCTCCAAACTTAGCAACTTCAAGATTTGTGGACTTCAGTTCCCAGAAGTTCCCAGCACAACTGGCTGACAAATTCTGGGAATTGAAGTCCATAAGTCATAAAGGGGCTTTCCCACCCCTGCTGTATGGTGCTAATCTACTATCTTCATGTCCTTCTGCATAAAAAAGACCCACAAAGGGACTTTAAATGACATGTCTTCATGACATTGCCATTGTTTCATCCACAGAGGAAGAAATCTCAAAAGGAGTCTTTCCTCCACCAGACAGAATGTTAGTCACGGCCACAATCTAGGATACAACTGACAATTCACACATGTCCTATGCACCCCGTTAGCCTGCTATGGAAAAGACCTCTCTTCTACTTACTGGGCTCTGGACTCCATAGCCACGTTGGCTCGAGCTGCAGAAATGACCAGTTATCACCTTCCATACTGGAATCTATTCCTGTGTCCAAATAGCACTTTTCTTAGCATTTGTCAGATCTTATATACAATTTGTCCTCGACTTACAACCATTTGTTTAGTAACCATTCAAAGTTACAACAGCACTGAAAAAAAGTGACTTATGATCATTTTTCATACTTATGACCACTGCAAGCATCCCCAAGGTCATGTGATCAAAATTCAGGCACTTGGCAACTGGCATGTAATTATGACAGTTGCATTGTCCCGGGGCCATGTGATCACCATTGGTAACCCTCCCAGCCAGCTTTTGACAAGCGAAGACAATGGGGGAAGACAGATTTGCTTAATGACCATATGATTCACAACTGCAGTAATCTGCTTAACAGTTTTGGCAAAAAGATCATAAAATGAGGCAAAATTCATTTAGCAATTCATTGTTTAGCAATAGAAATTTTGGGCTCGGTTGTGGTCGTAAATTGCGGACTACCTGAAGTCTCTTTATAATCATGGGTTCTGAAATCTCTTCAGATGTGCTAGATGTGTTTTTTGAACAATGGTTTAAAGATTGCTCAAGTCTTGTGCCGCATAGGAGTGTGACTGATGCTGGGAAACAGATTTGGGTTCTGCTTGTTCTCCCCCAATGAGGGTACTGCAAATGTTCTGCTGCTTTTGCTGGCAAAGAGTTTCACATGACAATGGTTTTTATTGGGGCGGACACTGCCACTCGCAGCAAACCTCAGAATAAGTAGGTACATTCAATTGCGTGGACATATTCCTGTTAATGTAAATAATTGCAGTATTCCACCCATATATGCCTGTGCTTCAGGGAAGAGAACAATTTATCAAAATAACACAAAGCTGTCCATTGAAAGAGACTGCTCTTGGAGGCCAGGGACTAGCTCTTTCATTTCTTGGGCACCTACAAAAGCATTTGGGGTTGCTATGGTGCAGAGGAGAGATGCTGGATGAAATGAGAGGGAATGTCCCTGGTGCCTCCCTTTATCCTTCTGACCTGTTAGCTGAACTGCTTTGGACAGGTGTTTAGTGTTCCCTCCAAAGAGCGCTGGACCCATGTTTTAAAAAAAGCCTGTTAATGATCTGTTATGCAGGCAACTTAATAGCAGGTGAACCCACCATTCCAAGCATCATTTACACTTGCCCAATGCTGCCACCACCATCACACATTAAGGAATGTTGGTTATTTTTTCTGCTGGCAAGAAAAAATGGAATTTTTTGGTGGAAGAAGAGACAGTCAGGGAAACTCACCACTTCCCTTAACCTGTCTCACATTCAGCACCACTGACTAGCCCTGTAATTGAGATAGAATAAAGTTCAGCAGCCAATTTATGCTGGTATATTTTTCTGACAATTTAAGCAGTGGAGGAATGTGTGTTAACATGGCTATGACAAAGTAGACAGAATAAAGTATATTAGCCAAATGCAAATATTTCACAGAGAACCAAGTGTGTAGATGCTGGATTCTTGTCTAAATGTTAGCTGAATAACAAAAGAGTGCAGCCCAGGGTAAAAATCCTCTCCAGAAGGATCCAAGTCGAGTCAATTTTTAGAAATAAGAATAAAGTAGCAGTTTGTAGGTAATGCTACGTATACTCTGGAGAATCACTCCCACTCATTTCAAACTAACTAAAGTGATTAACCATCTGGCTCATATTGGCAGCTTAATATATCCTAAAAGTACCTTAGTAATTGCGCTTTGAATCTAGAATTTACTCTATTTTTAAATTCCCATGCTTTTGCAGTACGTACTCCAACTCCCCAACTCCTCCAATCCTAGTCTAGAACTGTGAGAAAGAAGATCATCCCATTGTGCTTGAGTGGCAGACTCTGGATTCACCCTATGTCTTTAGGGTGCCTTCCTATAGCCTTCTTCTTTAATTTATGGAAAAATAATTTCCAGAATTCTAAAAATGGTAAAGTAACTCTCCCATACACTGGGTTCAGTATGATTAGGGCAAAAAATTAATTCGTTATTTTCTCAAGCCTCCCATCTCAATCCAGTGACTCTGGGTGGCGAACAATTCTAAAACAATTAGCAGTTAAAAACAGTATAAAAATAAATATGTATAGCAATTGAGAACATTATCGTAATAATTGTCAGTATATCCAAGAAACAGGGCCCTTAACACATTTGGGGGCCCAATCCTGGGCAGATAGCCAAGTTTTTAAGGTCTTACACAAGAACCCCAGGATTGCATCAACTTAAATCTCTGAAGAAAGGATGGTCTAAAGGGCAGAGGCTACAGCAGAGAAGGCCTGTCTCCTGATTTGTGCCTGCGATTTTTCTTGCTGACTGACCCACAGTATACCTGACTTGCCAGCCCAAATTGGTTGGGTAGAAACTGTTAGGAAAAGACGATCCTTTAGTAAACTGGTCCCAAACCATATAGGGCTTTAAAGAAGACAACTAGAAACTGCAATTTCACTTGGAAACACACCCGTAATCAAAGCAGCTCAAGCAATAGTGTTGTTATATGTATCACATATCTGACACAATTTACTGCCCATGCAGCCACATTCTGTACTATTTGAAGCTTCCAAATGCTCTTTTAAGGGCAGCCCTGTGTACAGCGCACTGCAGTAGTCCAAACTAGAGGTTTCTCCTTTGAAAATGGAAACATACAGAAATTAAAGTGGAGTGTTGAATGGTTGGTTGGTTGGTTGGTTGATCAAATGCATATCTTGATATTTTAGGGCTAAGTGCATATTTGGAAATATTTGAAATTTTAGCATCAACTGATTTAATAAAAGGTTTTGTGTTTTGTCCATATAGGATGCCATTTTGTGTCCCATTTTAAGGAAAGGCTATTTCTTGCTATTTTTAGAGTTTTGCTGCACCTTAAACTATAATCAATGACATAATATGTACACTTACTATCAACATTTAACAGTAACTATCTAAATCTAGATTATAATGCAAGTATTTTGGGATTCATCCTATGGATCCATTGTATTTAGCAAAGATAGTAAATGACTGCAACATACAGAATGGTACTTTAGTGACAACATATTAATTCATACAAGAAATAAAATCAGATACAAATGCAAAAAAGTTGATGTTGCAAACATATTGAAATTTAAAACATTTGATTCCTTCTTGTTTCACTTCCTTTGGGCATAGACTTCTCAAGTACTAAACTAGCATTTTTGTTAGCACACATGGCATATAAAGGAATACAGAGAGCATATTCCCCAATTTCCTATTTAACATTTTTAGAAGTGGCCAGGTGCTGCTCTACAGATAAATAATAATGAATCAAAATAATATTTGTAAGAGATACTCTGTCACAAACTGAAGCAGGCAACAGAGAAAATCTCATTCTCAGGATCTGGTTTGTCAAATTTTTGAGAAACTTGAGAAAAAAAACTATTAAATGCTAACAATTTCTCCTAAGCCAACATTACTGAGTGAGGCTCCTCCATTTGGGTTTTCTGCCAAAAAATCAATTTGTTCTACATGCAATTGTGTAGAAAGTTTTCAGCATATTTGAAAACTGGTATCATGCCCTACCTATTTTAAACCAAACACATCCCTTCTTAGTACTCAGTTTAAATCCCTCCGATAATCTTGACTGTCTTTCCAATCTGTCTGAATGTGTGAGGTCCAAAATATGTGGTTTCACCACTGTGAAACAGAAAGCAACTCTTTCTTCTCCTAGTTTGAAAACTCTTCTTTTCTTGATGGAATCTAAAACTAAATCTAAATCATAGCTTGGTATCATTTTTTCCAAGAACAAATGCCAATCCAGAGAATTGTCCTTGTTACTTGTTGTGTTACCACGATACACAAATATCTATTTGACTTCATTTTGCCTTTGGGGAAAATGATATTTATTAAAAAAAAAGTGTATGTCTACATAAAATTGCAGACAAGTTATCCCAAAAATGCTTTTCAAAAGGCAACTGGACTTCCTTTTTTTTTCCTTGAAAACTTTTCACTTCTCATCCAAGAAACTTCTTCAGTTCTAATGAGAAGCAAAATGTT